GGCGACGGAAGGGGGTGGTAGGGGAGATTGAAGTCTATTAGAAAATAATGAAGGTTACCCGCTGTTCTTGAATTCAGTTCTTTGACAGCGAAGACCATTATCCGCGGTACGTCCATTAGAAGGCGTGCTTCCATTATCTGACAGTGGAGGAACCGCCTTTGGCTGGACAGTAAGCCTTCGTCACAGTGTAAGAACTATACGCATATTTGAAGAGTTTGTCGTTGTCTTTCATTTGGTCCTACCACGTCTTTCCTCACTGGCGCGTGCGATGGATCAGGTCCTTGTATAGGTCGATGGACCACAAAGTATCAAAAGACCCATCTGAATCCTTCTAAGAACATTAAATCTTGAAGTTGTAAGGTTATGTTAAAGTCGAATATGTATCATATTTTTATGCGACAAATTATTTTTGTTTTGACAAGGCTGTAGAATTTTAGACCAGATGACTTTTCAAGTTTGACTATGTGAGAGGAAGCTAGCAAGAAGAAATCAGATTTAGTTCTGTATTGAGCACCATCATTTATTACAAAGTTAGGCTGAAGCAACGTGCTTCTATGGAGACACTACAATTGCTAGAGACTACTTAAAACTGAGAGCTTAAAAACAGATATAAACAAAAAGCTTCTTCTCAGACAACTGTTACCTGAATGTGAACGATGAGGCACGTGCTATGACCCAATTGTGGGATGCTGATGGAAATGTAATGTGACGGATGGTTATATAATATCAGTGATAGGTCGATACCCTGAGGGTAGTCATTTATTATTGATGACATTTCTGACTGGCAAAGCAATAACGCACCATTTGAGGGCCATCCTCGCAATGCCATTTGCCGTAGTGTAAGGTTGTATTGTCACCTCATTTCTTACTGGTATTCGTTGAAAACAACAAGTTTCCAGTGTATTAAAATTCCGAAAGAGATCTCTGCACGAAAATGGAAAGTTGCGACTGCCACAAAGTCAGCGCGGTCAGCAGGACAAATATCTTTTTCTTTCTGAAAGCTTCGAAATGTAACGAAATTTCTAAACAAGAACTCACGCACTTCCTACTTTGATCGTCAAACGTTTACTCAAGTGGGTATGCAAAATAATACCTTTTTTATACAAAAGAAAGAAAGGAAGAGAGATGAGAGGAGGAGAGACAGAGGGAGGGGGGAAAGAGAGAGAGAGAGAGAGAGAGAGAGAGAGAGAGAGAGAGAGAGAGAGAGA